CCGAAGGGGAGAGCCCGGCCGGGCGTTTAAACGCGCGAAACGAAATACTGCGATGGAACGCGTTATGCGTGCTCACTGCGCGGAGACATTATTAATTTTGTCGTACACTTTTCTCTCTCTCTCTCTCTCTCTCTCTCTCTCTCTCTCTCTCTCTCTATCCGCAGCCATCGACTGCCGCACTATACCGTCGTCGACCGAATTCCATCACATCTATCATCGCGCGCTCCAAGAGGAAACGACCCGGCAGAATTTGTTTTCGGTCGGAATTTGTTATCGCGTTGTTTTTTCTCGCATTATGGAGGGGGGGGGAAGGGAAACGCCAAATGTATATGTACGCTTACAAAAATATTATACTTTTTTAAGCGCCGGAAACAAAGTCGGAACACGACGAACAAGAACATCCATTTCGTTACGAATAATAATATTTCCGGGCGCAGTTGGTATAATCGTAATGTATACGGCTACTGTTATTTTACATACATCCATACACACTTTGATACGAATTTCCACGAGGTTTTTCGGTACATATACATCGTACGAACCCGTGATACCGTTTTGTCAAACACGCACGGGATTAAAAACGATGATATTACGCATTGAGCGATGGTTCCGTCGTTGTTTCGTGACGTCGACAAACGAAATTGAAACGAGTACACGTGGCTGTGTATTATTATTATTATAATTATATCGTCGCGAAAACGACGAGAACTGTCGTGAATTGAACTGACGGCTTTGACGGGGCCAGCAGCGGTGCCGTATTACCAAACGTGATAACGCGCGATGCAAAAAATACGGTTATTGACACTGATCCGCGTTCAAAACTTGTATAATATTAAATTGTAATATCCGTCGTGTTCGATGTATTATAATAGGTCTATATATATATATATATATATATATATATATATATATATATTGTAACCGTCGGTGGTCGTAGGGCGTTTGCGATGTTTCGTTTTTTATATTATTTTCTCCATTGTCCTCCCTTGTCGGATAACTCCCCGATACTGTTATATACATATACTTTATTATTATTTTTATATACGTCATCACGATGGGAAAATATGAGCCACGAAAAGAAATTCCGAGTGCGAATTATTATTATTATTATTACAACTATAATTATTTTTATGAGACAGTTAATGGAAATAGATCCCTGCGGCAGTAAATCCTTTTATCTTTTTTTTTTATTTTATTTTTATTTTTTTCACTCTACGAAAACACTGTATTTTGTTTTCGACGTATATTTTTATACCAGATGCGTGCACACGATTTATTTCAACCCCTATTCCGCGCGAATAGTTTTGTATGTGTATTTTTATGTCGCAAATATAACAAATATATTCATTATGCAGTTATAAACAAACCGATGATGATATAATTACGGCAACTTTCCCTTGATCTTTGGCCGCGTGCTCACTAACGAGATAACTGTGTGTCATTGCGCGTTATTGATTCCTCACGACATCCGAGATTCGCTCGAAAAATCGTTGCATAATGCGTATTTCGTGATCCCTAAATAAATTGATACTCGCGCCGCGGCGGAATGTTGTTATCAAACGTTTGCGAGGGAGGAAAAAATGATTAGTACGGCGTGGGGATTTTGTTTACGTCCGTTTTCGGTTCCCGCATCGGGCCCCCGTCGGTCGAGAAGGAGTATGGTTAGGTTATTGCAAATTGGAACCCTCGACATCACGACGGATGAGAATCTATTTTTAATACAGTTTAATTAGATTCAAGTAGAATCTGTTATGCTCCTACTGATCGCCGTGACCTACATGTAGCAGAAAGTTTCATACATTTTATCGAGAGTCATTATCTAGGACACGACGCGCGTAATTGAGTGGAAAAAAATATTCATTGATAATGGTTGTTGACCCGTTGAAAATATATAAGGAGAAATAAAATAGGGAGCGCAGTCAGCTATTTATCCTGACGCGTATTGTATCGTTTTCCACTAAATTGAAACTACTTAATGTGTATAAAAGTCTTAAACATTTGATTTTATACCATTATAAACGATTTTTCGTAGTTTTTATAAAATATCTTCTCTCAACATTATGCACATGTTCGTACACTTAAATAGTTCAGTAACACCTATTGAAATTTATAATTTTTAGTATGAATTGTGTTTTTGCTTATTAATTTTCCATTTTCTGTTTATCTACGAGATTTTGAATCGAAAGAATACTCCGACTATCAACTATATTTTAAAAAAAAGTCTGTTTAACCATTCCGACTGTAGATAATTATTAGGTAAAATTTTACTTACATAGTAATATTATATATATTCGGACTTTAAGCTGATTTCCCCGATCTCCTTCGATCTGAACGGTTTTTCTTTACTAATGGTACATAGATTTAAAATCTATAAAAACCATGCAGTCCTCCAATATCAGTCATCCGTTACTGTAATCGCACCGAACTCCCAGCATCTCGCCCTTTTTAAATTTAAAATAATAATACTCGTATTTCGTATCGCGAATTATACCCTATCAGTATAATTATTTCTGTTTTTTTTTTTTATGCGGTCATCATTTTTGCATCTAAATAAATGAATGTTCTGTTACATTCTTTACGTATGAAATGTTATTCTACAAATCAGTTTAACGTTATATAAAACTATGAGACTAAATTTCCTATGTGTATCGTGTAAACAACGAAATGTAAATAATGATTGCATTAAAATAGCTTTTATATGATGTCAATGGTTCCAATGTAAATATTATGTTTTTATTTAAAAGGATATACAATAACGCAGAGCACATAATACGACCCGAGCGTTTTTAAAAAGTGCAATTCCTGTGTTCGGACGAGTTCCTACACGGAAATATAAATAATGTACAATATGTGTGCACGTGCTTGCCCGTGTTTCTGTGTGTGTGTGTGTGTGTGTGTGTGTGTGTGTGTGTGTGTGTGTGTGTGA